ATTCAACTGTAAACCTAAAAATTTACAGCCAATTTTGAAAGAGATGCATCCTACCTCAGGAAACCATTATTGAACATGTCAATTGTGTTGTAATGATATGCTTCTTCTAAGTATGTTGTTATTAAATAAATCATTTTTAAAAATTAAAAAAAAAATTTTTTTCTACTTTTGCCTATTTTTAAATTTTGTTGTTGTTGTTTTTGTCTTTTTTTGAAACAGGGTCTCCTTGTAGCCCCGCTGTCCTGGAACTCACTATGTAGACTAGGCTGGCCTCGAACTCACAAAGATCCACCTGCCTCTGCCTCCCAAGTGTTGGGATTAAAGGCCAGCCTGTTTTTGTTTTTTTAAGGCAGGGTCTCTCTATAGCCCTAGCTGTCCTGGATGTATGTAGACCAGGCTGGCCTCAGATTCACAGAGATCTTCCTGCCTGTCTCCAGAGTACTAGGATTAAAGGTGTGCATCACTATGCTGGTCTATTTTCAATTTTTTGATATAGGGTCTCACTATGCACCCCAGGCTGGCCTCAAATTTATGATCATTTTGCCTTAGCCTCTGCAGGGGTAACAAGGCATGTGTCATCACACCTGGACTCTATGTTGTGTCTTAATCCTAGAAAAACTTTGGGTTTAGCAACTATTTTGCGAAGAATGAATTGTTTTTTTAGTTAGAAAGAAAGGAAGGAAAGAAGGAGGGAGGGAGGGAAGGAAGGAGGGAGGGAGGGAAGGAAGGAGGGAGGGAGGGAGGGAAGGAAGGAAGGAAGAAAGGGAAGGAAGGGAGGCAGGAAGGAAGCTGGGTATAGTGGCGCATGCCTTTAATCCCAACACTTGAGAGGGAGACTCGGGTAGCTCTCACAGGATCTCTCTGAAATTGAGGCCAGCCTTGTCTACATAGCAGTTCTAGGACCTCTCTGAGACTGAGGCCAGCCTCGTCTATAAAGAAGTTCCAGGACAGCTGGGGCTACAGGAAGACCCTGTCTCAAATAAATAGATTAGCCAAGCATAGAGGCAAAAATTTTTAACAGTCACTGGGGAAGTGGAAGGAGGATCAGGAGTTCAAAGATAGCCAAGGCTACATGAGACTCTTGTTTAAAAACCAAAAACAAAGGGCTGGAGAGATGGCTCAGCCGTTAAGAACAGTGGTTGTTCTTGAAAAAGACCCGGGTTTGAATCCCAGCACCCACATGGCAGCTAACAGCTGTCCATATCTCCAGTCCCAGGGGATTCAACAGCTTCTTCTGACCTCTGAGGGCACTGCACAACACAGGCGCACTTACCTACATGCAGGCAACACACGCATACACATAAAATTAAAATAAAAAAATTAACCCCCCTCCCCCCAAACAAACAAAATCCAAACTAAACCAAAAACAAGCTTTGAGATGTAATGCATATATGTCAAAATTTAAAATATACAGAATACCATATATAGTTAGCCCAGCATGGATTGAACTCATGACCCTCTTATCTCAGCCTCCAATGCTGAGATTACAGGTGGTCACTGCCACACCTGGCTCAAATTATATAAGTTTTGGGGGCTGGAGAAATGGCTCAGTAGTTAAGACCACTGGCAGCTCTTGTAGAGGACCGAAGTTTGGTTCCCAACACCTAAATGGTGGCTAACAACCATCCATAACTTCAGTTCCAGTGTATGCAATGCCCTCTTCTGACCTCCTCGGGCACTGCACAACACAGGTGCACTTATATACATATAGGTAAAACACTCATATCCACAAAAATTAATTAATTTAAATATATTTGTATATACATACATATATATATATATTTATATATATTTACCTTTTTATGTATTAGAAACCACTGAGGCTTATGCAACGGTCGAAAACTTGATCCTCCACCTTGGCAATGAGCAAATCCTCGGGCTCTGTTGGAATGTATCACACCTCTTGTAGCTATAGCTGTACTATATTCCCTGAGTAAAGAGTGTGTCTGACAAATGAGACAAAATGTGAAACAAAGAGACTTATGAAATAGTGTATAATACTATTACAAAATACTGGTAGTATCTTCATATAAGACTGTCCATCTTTAGCTACTTCGCATTTATTTTTTTTAACATCATCAAAGTCCTACAATATTGCTATAAAATTATTTAAAACAAATTGAACTGAGACATAAGGATCAAATATATAGGCTGAACCTCTGGGGGTTAATTAAGTCTTTGATGGGGCTGGGAGAAACAACATTTTTGAGGCAACTGGGAAATACAAACAACATATTACTAAACTGTTTTTGCTCTGTTGTTTTTTGAGACAAAGTCTCCTTAGGTGGTCAAGGTTAGACTTGAACTTGATGTTCTCCTGCCTCAGCTTTTTGACTATTGGGATTAGAGTGTGTACCATCATGCCCAGCCTGAATTAATGTTAACTAAATTCATGGCAACTTTCTTGGATGTAATATTACTGTGGTTTTAACAGAACAATGTCTTTATTCACCTATGATACTTGCAATTATTTTCCCATCTTCAGACAAAAACTAGTGTGTAAATTAGGGAGATTAAACAAATGTAGCAAAAAAGGAAAAACAAACTAGTGGACAAAAGTTAAAGGTAAGCAGATTTTTAACATACTGTTCTTTCAACTTACCTATTGATTAGAATTTTGAAAATAAAAAAGAAGCAATTATATGAGGACACAACATAGAATAAATGTCTAAGCTGATTACTGAGTTGCTCATTATGCAACGAAAATATGAATCAGAACAACAGACTGCACCTCTTAAACATGTATAAATATTATGTGGTAATCACAAGTTTTTAAAAATATTTTATGGGGCTGGAGAGATGGCTCAGAGGTTAAGAACACTGCCTGTTCTTGCGGAAGACCCAGGTTTGAATCCCAGCACCCACATGGCAGCTAACAATGGCCTCTTCTGTCCTCTATAGGCACTGCACAACATGGGTGCACTTACCTACATGCAGGCATAACATTCATACACATAAAAAAATAATAAAATTTAAAAAAATTTATTCATTATTATTATTTTTATGTGTATGGATGTATTGCCGGAATGCATCTACGTGCACCTATGTCATGCAGTGCCCAGGAAGGTCAGAAGAGGGTGTTGAATTCCCCTGGAACTGGAGTTACAGATGGTTTTTAGTCCCCATGTAGGTGATGGGAATTGAACCCAGATCCTCTGCAAGAGCAACCAGTGCTCTTAACCACTAAATCATCTCTCCAGTCTCTCAAAAAGTTTTAAAAGGGATTATTTTTTTGTTTTGTTTTTGTCTTTTTAAGACACGGTCTCCCTGTAGCCCCAGCTGTCCTGGAACTCACTATGTAGACCAGGCTGGGCTCAAACTCACAGAGATCCACCTGCTTCTGCCTCCCGAGTACTGGGACTACAGGTGTGAGCCACCATGCCTGGCTCGGGATTATTTTTTTTTAATTGTGTAAACAAGCTGGGTGTGGTGGTGCATGCCTTTAGTCCCAGCACTCAGGAGGCAGAGGCAGGCAGATCTCTGTGAGTTCAAGGCCAGCATGGTCTCCACAGCAAATCCAGGCCAGCTGTGCCTACAGGGAGACCCTGTCTCAAAAGGA